TTACTCTTTTCACCCTTACATGGCCATGTAAGATCAAGCTGAACAGTTTTCCTCTTGCCGATTTCCTAAGGGGAACAAGTATCTTTGATTAATCAGTGGAGTGGTGAGATGCTGCAACAGGCTGCCCAGAGGGGCTGTGGATGCTCCATCCCTGGAGGTGTTCAAGGCCAGGTTGGATGGGGCCCTGGACAGCCTGGTCTAGTATTAAACGGGGAGGTTGGTGGCCCTGCCTGTAGCAGGGAGGTTGGAGATTCATGATCCTTGAGGTCCCTTCTGTGATTAATCTGATAACATCAACTGCCAAGACATTCTGCTTTAGCGTAAGCAGTACTTGATCAAAGCATTTTACACTCAGCATTCATTAAGCACTGACAATACCCCTTTCTTTCCAAGGGAAGATCATTGCTTCCATTACACGCATCTTCCCATCCAGATAGTTTTGAGATGTCTACTTGCTATCAGTGCCACTTGCCTTTACAGCTGTGGAAGATGATGTTGTTCAGGTCTGTCTTTTCCAACTTCGCAAGCATGGAATCAGTAAGAAAATGTTTGTGTTCAGCTTTAGGTATTAAAATAAATTAGAGAAGAAAAAAAAAAAAAAAGCCCTTGCAGCACCTTGGAAAGCACAGAACTTGATGAGCCAACAGGACAGGAGACACTTCTTGTGCTGGTGGGCTGCTCTTTATCCATCAGAAAAGATGCATGGTACTGAGGGCAATTCATCAGACAATGCATGGAGCAGATCCCTACCCACAGCCATTACACTTAAAACTACATAATATTTTCCATCAGCTCTTTTTTTTTCCTAGCCTGGAACTTAGCAAAAGTAAGATACTCACAGATTACTTTTCTTAATAGTCATGGAAGTGAGAGGTCACATCTTTAACAAGTGGTAGTACTGCCTGCTGTTATATTATAAATTTGGTCATTAACAACATGACCAATAGCTCCTCTAAAACTTGAGATAAGGAAGGCTGTATGCAACACCGTTTTCGATGAGTCTTACAAGTTTTGTAAAGCTATCTGTACAGTCAGTAAGAGAATCACTGCTGAATAAACTCTTGTACTTTCCATACAGTGAATCTTTTGTATACATTGGCTCGCTAAGGAAAGGAGAAAGTTTCAGTCGGATGTGCGTCAACATCAGTCATCTTTTCATCAAATAATCAACCAGGAGGTAAGAAAATATCCTTAATTTTCACGTGTTTGACACATGGAAAGCCATAACCCCCTTTACAAAGCCGCTGTATTTCAGACAACTGCTGCTTTAACAATGTCTCCAGTAGCAGACAAAATTAAACGTGCTTTCAAAGACTAAGAAATAGAATGTATAGGACACTAATCTTGCAATTCAGAAATATAGAATCACTCACTGTAAGTTACAAAAGTTCACGTGAGTTTTCACCACTTTTTCAAAACAAACTGATATAAAAACAGTGTCTTTATTAACACGTCCACCTTGTCTATGGAAAGGAAGGTTGGACTACCTGATCTTTAAGGATTCCCTCCAACACAAACCATTCCATCACTACGCCACTCGGACGTTCTTTGAAATCGGTCAGGTGAACAACAGAAAAACTGCTGCTCCGGCCACATAACTTGCTTTATACTGTTAAATGGAGAAAGAATTAAGATGAAAATAGCCAGCCCTGGGGCAGATTGAACCATTACGTTGGCAGGAGGCCAACACCACAGAATGGGCATCCAGTTTGGCAGTGGGAACTTGAAGAGTGAAGTACTTCCCACGCATCAACAACATCGAGAAGCAAATGGCAGCAAGGTCTAAGTTAGGAGGCACAGGAACGGAGCACTCAAGTGGTGTCAAGGATGTGCTGACACACGGATGCTGGAGCTCCTGGGCATTCACAGCAGCTGCTAATCTTAAATGGCTGCAAATGACAATTCTCATGCATTCCTCCGAACCAGATTTTGGCAATTTCAGGTGTCAGATTAACGTATGGAAGGGGACTTTCACCGCAGCACCCAGACTGCACAGAGGCTTGTGCAATACAGCTGAGCCTCCTGCTGATGGCCCCAGTTCTAGACTGGTTTCATCATAATCAGAAATGAAAACATAATTCCCTCACTTACATTTAGAAGCAATTTAACATTTATGAGGTAAATCAAAGGGTTGAATTCTAACAGCACTTAATCGTTAACCAATCTGGAGATTGATAAAGCAATTTAGTGAAATATACAACTCAACAGCAACTTGACTACAGATCCATGGAGGACAAGATTCACACTAACAGAATACCCTATGTCAGTGTATACACATGTGTACAGATGCACAACATACACTGCAGCACACACACACAGATAAACAGAGACGTGGATCCAGTGGATCCCACCCTGATGAAACACCTATCGTTAGAACATATCTAAGTAGGGAGGTGGATGGAAAAATAAGCCAGCCTATACTTAACACTTCCTTCTATTCAAGTTTAGAGTAAATGCTCACAGTACATCTGCCTCGGCAGGAGATAATCAAGACTAGCTTGAGTGGGATAACTTCACTCCGGCCTCTACCAAAGGTCTTGAGGATTTGATAGTGCCTAGGAGGCATTCCAACCCAGCTGAGATTGCTGGTCACAGCTCACTGCAATCCAGGAAAGCCCAAAGGGTCTCACTTAGAATCTCTGCTACAGGAGCAGCTGCCTTTTGTCAGGTATTTTTTCATATCAACTCACTTGGAAAGTACCAGAATATTTCACTATCCACCAGTTGTGCCTAGAACATGATGGATTCCCAAATTCTGTACCAATCTTCTTAGGCCACAGTCCAGGTGCAGATGCACTAGGATGCCTGGAGCTGACTGATCCTAAATGATGGGAGAAGCAGGAGCCAGATATGATAAGGAAGTGCTTTAATGCTCTGATCTGCTGCTTTTCGCAATGTATGTGAAAGCAGAGGCAAGGCCACACTGGTCCTCTGCCTTTCACACACGGTCCAAGGAGAGGAATCACCAAGAGGCATAAGAGAAACAGGGGGACAGCTGTACTACCCTGCGGTTTGCAATAAGACCCTCTAACAAAAAGATCCCTGCTTACAACTTGATGTGGAGCAGGAAGCTGTTTGGACCAGCAGAAGCCATTGTGCTGCTAAGGCTCTCTGTGGGATGGTTTTACAGCAAGGAAGCAAAAATCCTCACAATACAGAGAACAACTCACAGCTCCTACCCCAGAACAGACTCTGCCCAGCTCTGCAGAAGGCTGAGCTGCAGAGATAAACTAGGAAGCAAACAAGTCTGAGGATGAGCTTGGTTGGAGAGAGCAGAAGAGTAGGAGTCTGAGACACAGAGGTAATGTTTGGAGAGGAATAACAACCTCAGACTCAGTGAAAGGATGGTCTCAGAGCAAAATCCTGATGCTCAGAAAGGGCAGTTCTGGTAAAGGGGTAATGTCCTTAAACACTAGGTGTAGTGCTGTAGAAGTCAGATCATTTTGCATGAAAGGAAGAGAAGGATCAGAAAGAATGTAGGAGGATAAAGGGACATGTAAAGGTACTCCCAATACATACACTGCAAGTATTTTCAATAATACTTTGGCTCTTTACACACAATTTTGAAGATTTTATCAACAGGAGGTAAGCAGCCTTTGCAACACAAACGAGTGCCACAAATACCTTGACACTGAATGAAGAAGAAAACCAGGCACTAAAAGCAAGGCAGATAATTAAATCAATACTTATACACCGATGTTACTACCGAAACGTGCAAGTGATGTTCTACATAAAACACAGAGCCCTGAATATCAGTCTGGATGCACACAGCTGCAGTGACCCTACATAAACCCAGTGCCATGAATAACAGTCTGAATACACACAACTGCAGTAACCTCTCCCCCCAGCACATCCAGTAAATGCACTGTAGGAAGAAATGCAAAGAATTACAAAGACTCCCCTAAGACAAAAGCAATCACTGCAGTTGTCCTTCTTGATTCCTGCTCCTTCAAGGAGAATCAGATCAGAGGAAGAAAAAAAACAGAAGCCAGCACCAAACTGTGGATGCTACCGTGTGAATGTTCTTACAGAGGAAGCATTCCTGAGCAGCAGCCACAGGTTCCACCTTCTGCTACGCTACTCCTTGCCAGATACCCTTCTAGAGATGATTCTAGGAAAACCTGTTAAGAACAGTAACTTAAAACGAAGTTGCTCGCTCTGAAACTTTTCTAGGAAAAAAACCTCAACCTCTGAAGTACCAGTCACCCAAACTACAACACAGAAACAGCCGAACAGTAACAAGCACTGTCCTATATTGTGCCAACTCGCACAACGTCCATCTAAATCATGCTAAACGTTATTTAAACCGAGAGCGTCAGTGACCATCCTGTTGTTCGCATTCATCGCCGCTTTCGCTGGCAGAACACAGAGCTTTGAGGTCTGCAGCCCCTTCCAGCCCTACCCGACACGTGGACACCGTTTCTACTCCCATCTCAACAAGGAAACCAGGCAGGAGGGCCGCGGTTCGCCGCTCACCCCCCGCTCCCGTGCGCCTCAGGACGGCGCGGCGGATCGGAACGAGGAAACGGGAGACCCCGGGGACACCGCGGGGCAGGAGGCCGAGCTGGCAGAACAGCCGGGCCCGGCGCGGAGAAGGCGGGCGGCACGTAGCGCACAGCCGCGGGCACGGACGGCCCCGCCGGCCCCCGCCTCGCTGCGGGGCGGCTCCAAGCGGGCAGAGCCCCCGGCCTCGGCCCCCCGGCAGAGGGAGGGGACAGCGAAGGAAGGCGACCCCTCTCGGGGGCCTCAGGCTCGCGGTGCCGAGGGCGGCCCGAGCCCTCCTTCCCACGGCGTGGCCTCGGCGGCCGCGGCCAGGCCCGCGTTTCCCCCCCCTCCCCCCCCTGCGCGCTCCTCCGGCCCCACGGCGCAGCGCCGTGAGGGGCCGCTGACAGCGCCTCGTGCGCCGCCTCCCCCAGCTCCCCCACGCGGGAGCCGAGTTCGAAACCCCAGAGCGAAAAAAGCGCCCCGGGTGGCTCGAGGGAAAGCGGCCAAAGCCTCACCGGGTCCGGCGGTGCTGGCTCCCGGGTACATGGCTCCGTGCGCGGCGGCGGAGGCGGCGCCTCTCTTCAGGTCCCTACGGCGGCGGCGGCCGAAGGGGAGGGAAAGGGAGGGAAAGGGAGGGAGAGAAGCCCGAGCGGCGGTTACGCTGTTGGGAGCAGGGGGAGGAGAAGGAAAGAGAAGGGAGGGGAGAGGAAAAGAAAAGGGGAGGAGGGGAGAGGGGAGAAAAAAAAAAAAAAAGAGAGAGAGAGAGAAGAAAAAAAAAAAAAAAAAAAAAAAAAAAGAGGGAAGAGGGCCGGGCCGACGCCGGGAAACCAGGTTACTCGGCGGCACTGAGGAGCGGGGAGGTGGGCGGGGGGAAGGGAGGAGCCGCGCAGTCACGGGAAGGGGCGCCCCGCCCGCCGCCTCCGCCCGCCTCCTCGGGCCCCATCGGGCGGGAAGCGCGGCACGGCCGGAGGGAGCGGGGTGCGCTCTTCCGCCGCCGCCTCCTCTTCCTCACGGCCGGGTGCGAGCGATCTTTCGTCGTGCTCGCACCGCTTCGCTCCTAGCGGCTTGTGCCGTCTCTTTCAGCGAGACGTGGCGACGTGACGAGCCCTCTGCCGACCGTTCGACGTGACGCTGATGTGAGTGTCCTGTCTCGGAAATCCAGCGGTGTGCTGACTCGCACAGCGGGGTCATCTCTGGCCATGTTATTCGAAGTGTAGTGCAGGAGAATACGGACTAACAATTGCCGTGATGCAAAAGAGACATCGAATCATAGAATTCTTTGAGTTGGAACAGGCTCATAAGGGCCCTTTAGTCCAACTCCCCTGCAGTGAGCAGGGACACCTACAGCTCCATCAGGTGCTCACAGCCCCATCCAACCCGACCTTCGATCAGGGATGGAGCATCCACCGCCTCTCCGGGCAGCCTGTGCCAGTGCTCCATCATCCTTATCAGAAAGAACTTTGTTCTCATTTTGAATATAACTGTTCCCTCTTTTAGTTTGCAAATGCTTCCCCTTGTCCTGTCACGACCCTGCTAAAGAGTCTGTCCCCATCCTTACAGCCATCCTTTACATTCTGAAAGGCCATGCTCAGGGTCTCCCTGGAACCTTCTCTTCAAAAGAAGCGTGGCCAGCAGGGCGAGGAAGGTGATCCTGTCCCTCTACTCTGCTCTGCTGAGGGCTCACCTGTAGTACTGTGTCCTGATGTGGAGTTCTCAGTACAGGAGACGGGGATCTGTTAGAGTACATCTGGAGGACGCCACAAAAGTGATCCCGGCTCTCTGAGGACAGCTGGGAGAGCTGGAGCTGTTCAGCTTGGAGAAGAGAAGGCTGCAGGGAGACCTGAGAGCAGCCTTTCAGTATCTGAAGGGGGGCTGCAAGAAAGAAAGGGACAAAGTCTTTAGAAGGGACTGTTGTGGTAAGAAAATATTAGGCAGTCCTAAATGCTGACAGTAGGAAATCGTGCAGCCTGTATCTCAGTTTTTGATACTATATTTAAATCAATCTCTTCAATCTGATTAGGAAGATAACTCCCTCTAACGTTATCATACTTCCATGCCACTAGACCTTCTGCATTTAAGTACAAGAGAACACACAAGTACCATAATAGGTCTCTAGAAAAGTTCACTGAAAGCGGTGATTGTGGAGAAATTAGCAACCAGCATCCAGCAGCTGATGTCACCCAGCTATGTCTAGATTTACCGCCTCACGCTGCACAGTGTATGTATAGCTGTATGCCATGTGCCTGTCTTGAGACTTACCATTACATTCTCAGGTTCAAAAACTATGTGAAAAAACAAGGACAAAAACAGTAGTAGGGCTACCATCACATCAGCAGTTTGTTTATTGTTACAGCAAGAGAAACATCAAGGCTTATGTTTGCTGTACAAGGAATGCAAGATGAAAGTAAGTCATCATTGTGAGTAATGGCATTTCGAAGTCTGTGACTTTTGATCCCTGGCACCTGACGTGCTGTGGCAGTTGACATACATACCATCACCAGGAGCATCGCAAGCATTTGATTATCAGCTCTATTAGTGCTCAAAACATTTATCAAAGCTTATATACTTCATTCAAGCATTATAATATATAATTTCACTGATAAGATTGCCCTCCGTCAGAACAATCACAAGTTTGGAACCTGCAAGGAGAAGAGGAACAAAACACGAGCAATGATTACTGTGTTATATTTTTTCACATGAAAGAAGAGCTCCTGGCGTTGGTAGAAATGTGGAATGAGCTCAATATGTACTTCCAGGAACATGACCATCACTGTTTTGTAGGCAGACAACAACCAAACTGACTGTTGGACACACAAACATTGATAATCCTGTCTCATCTTTCTACATCATTCTGCTTGTGAAACACCACGCTGAAAGCAATGGTCAGCAGAACTTACATGCAGAAGGGATGCACTGATATGGAACTTCATCTGATAGCTCACGCTGCTGCAAAAGGAAAAACAACTGATGAAGAGTTCACGACTGCTCTGCAGTCAGTTTGAAAATAACAAGCTATCGAGCAACAGAAGATGGGTGAAGGCTTTAGAACTTCAAAAGCAAAAGGGTTTATCGCTGTGTATACATGGCTGCAGACTTGCACAATCAGTTAAACAGTAAATCAGTTAAATAGCTGTATTTAAACACTGTCTTCATGTCTCGGAGTCCTGTTGTTCCTCTGTGCTGCTGTACTCTCCCAGCAACATTTCTGTGTTCACGCAGCAGTGCTGGTCTCTCTCTGCTCCTGAAGGAACAGGACACACTTTGCTCCATGTCACTTCATTACTTCTAATGCTTTCTGTCACTGACAGTTGCTGTTTTGGAGCACAGTGAAACATAATTATCTATTCCTCGGCAATTTCATACCAACAGAAAACCAACAACAACAAATAACTCCTCCATTTCATAAAAGGTTTTGGATCAGAGTGGTTTGGAAGTTCCATAGCAGCTTTCTTTTCATCGTGCTCTCTGTGTACTCTATTAACAATTACACAGTAGTGTAAGAAGAATTACTGAAACACAATCAAATTTCTTTAAAGAGAAATGTGACTGTTTTGCACAATACACTGTCATAACGGCTGCATTTCAGGCTGAAATTTCCTAGAGACCTCCCATAGAAGGAATTAAATTAGTTTTGGAAAAGCTGTGCATTTTCTCATCGTTTTGGAAGTAATGATGGGATTTATGAATGGCTTTTAAAATTCATTTATATAAATGGAGGTGCTTGGGGGTAAATATTTTACATGCAATAGGCTGCTGGCAGAATACCTGGCTTTTCTTCTTATTAGAGAACATATTTTGACTTCACTACAACCCTTTTCATTTTAACCCGAATTGCATTCAAAGCCAGTTTATACAAGTCTGCTAGGGATGGGTAGTAATGATACAATGGCAAAAATTTTACTTAGGGAGGAAAGATGTAAATCTGATTCTTGACTCTGAGGGGGACCCAAACTTACTTTTTTTTTAGCCTTCAAGTGCCCTGGCTTTTAAGATGTTATTCTGGAGTGCCTGCATTAGATTTCTCACATATTCTGTGTCATTTTAAATAGGGCCAAGTGTTGGGTACTGCATTTTGGTCAGAACAACCCCAGGCAACCCTACAGGCTTGGGGAGGAGTGGCTAGAAAGCTGCCTGATGGAAAGGGACCTTGGTGTATTGACGGACACTGGGCTGAATATGAGCCAGCAGTGTGCCCAGGAGGCCAAGAAGGCCAATGGCATCCTGGTTTGTATCAGAAATGGTGTGGTGAGCAGGGAGGTAATCCTGCTCCTGTAGTCAGCATTGGTGAGGCCTCACCTCGAGCACTGTGTTCAGTTTTGGGCACCTCAGTACAGAAAGGACATGGAGGTGCTGGAGCAGGTCCAAAGAAGGGCAACAAGGCTTGTGAGGGGCTTGGAGAATATGGCCTATGAGGAGAGACTGAAGGAACTGGGGCTGTTCAGTCTGGGGAAAAGGAGGATGAGGGGAGACCTTGTTGCTCTCTGCCAATATCTGAAAGGTGCTTACAGCGAGAGCGGGGCTGCTCTGTTCTCACTGGTGACAGGTGACAGGATGAGGGAAATGGCCTCAAGTCGCACCAGGGTAAGTTTAGGTTGGATATCAGGAAACACTTCTTTACAGAAAGGGTTGTTAAGCACTGGAATAGGCTCCCCAGGGAGGTGGTTGATTCACCATCCCTGGACGTGTTTAAAAACCATTTGGATGTGGTGCTCAGGGATTTAGCAGAGGGTTGTTAGAGTTAGGGTAGTGTGGTGAGGCTGTGGTTGGTTGGAGTCGTTGATCTTTAAGATCTTTTCCAACCTGAGCAATTCTATGGTTCTATTAGAACAAAAGTGAGAAAGACCACAGCTATGACCTGACCTGATGTGTACACCTGGTTATAAAGTCTTTGAGGCCCTGACTTCAGTTTACTCAAGAACTGACTTTTCTAGTGATCAGAGCCAACAACACAGCAACAAATGAAAACTCTGACAAAGGTGCAGCACCACCTATTGGGGATATGGTGCGAGTTGAGTATTACTGTTTCGAGTCGTAGAGTTTCGGGTTTTTTTTCCACACGGGTTTCTGTGGGACTTCCTAATGCAGTCATCAGCTCAGGCATGAACATATTCTGGGGGTCTGAACACAGAATCACAGAATGGCCAGGGTTGGAAGTGACCTCAAGGATCATGAATCTCCAAACCCCCTGCCACAAGCATGGCAACCAACCTCCCCAAGTAATACCAGACCAGGCTGCCCAGGGCCCCATCCAAGCTGGCCTTGAACGCTTCCAGGGACGGGGCATCTCATCACACTTATGAGGAAGTGTAAAACACAGGAAAAAAAAAATAATAATAAAAAAAAGTAAGCTAAGGAAAAAGGCATTTCCAGAAAACAAAAAGATAAGAGAATCAAATACTGTATCTGAGAATGAATGTGAACAAATTGGAAGAACACAACTTTATGGTGAACAGTCATGCTGCCAAAATAAAATAAAATGCAACCACAACAACGGCAACAAAACAACCCTGCAAAAGCATACCATACAGAGAAAGAAATGAGTACCACAACTGGAAAACAGATGCAGGAGGGGATAACTGCCCTGATGAACAGCACCTACACAGTGACTAAGACTAATACAAGGCACCCTGATCATCTGCCAGCACCTTCCCTCTCTCAAGAGTTGGAAAGACCTTGAT